TTTAATTGACAAAATTCCTTCAAAAATTCAAATAAAAATGTTTTTAGCCTGAACTATTCTTCATATAATTTTCTATACTCTTACAAAATTTGAACGCTTTTAGTTATATAAAATTAGAGTTATATGATATTTTTTATGCTTGTTTGCTTTCACACATCCCAATGGTAAATAAAAACTTTAAACTGATTTATATCAGAAAGAAAAATTAATTAGTTTATCTTCATTTAAAATGCTAAGGCTTTTTTGATATTACATCAAATGCTTAGATACTTTTTCTACTTGTTGCTATTAGAACATGTAACAAACGTCGATATGTATTAATGAATAAAAATAGTAATTATTTTTTAAAAAATAGTTGAGTTTAAAATTTATACATTTTTTAAGTAATTTTCAATAAGAATTCGTAAAAAGAAGTATTTTACCAATTTCAAACATTTTAGAACAGAACCCATACCAATTTTTGATAAACATAATTTGACGTACTTCTAAGCCAAATTTCATGTGTGTTCATCAATTATTGTAGGAGGAGTAACATTTTAAAACCCCTTGTGAATTTTTAAATTTTTCCTTAAAAATTTAAATGTATAGTACTTTATAGTATTTTGAGCACAGAAATGGTTTTACTGCAATAACATACATGGGTCACAAGCAAGAAATTTATAAATGCTATTAAATCAAAGATTTTTTTAAACAATTCTACAATGTCCTATTAAATTTTTGTTTTTATTTGTGTTGTTGTTATAATTGTAAATAATTAAGGCAAGAATAAAAGTGAGCAGGATAAGTACACATTCATAGCAAAGTGTGTGAAATATTTCAAATGCAGCAAAGCATAAATATATCGATGCATTAAATTAATGAAAAAAAATCAAAGGTTTCAAAGTTTTTTTTGGCATTAATATTTGGAAATATGAATAATTTTATCAAGGCAATCTGAGAAAAACTCTCAATGTATTTAACAAATTAAAACTTTACTTACCAAAATAAATAGCTGTATTTTTCTTTTTAGAAATATCGTCCATGTATGACAATCCAATAGCATAGTAACCCAAATTCCCAAATCCTTTTAAAACTCCCGCAAGCATCAGAAAGAAAAGGGCTGTTACAGTTGGAGGACGATCATCAGCGTTGCAATTCTCTGCTCGAATTTCTTCTTCACATATTTGAACCCCACTCTTATTTTGTACGTTTTGGATATTTAAATGTGAAGATGGACCATAAATAAAATAAGGAAAAGCCGATATGAAGCAACAGAAAGTTGACATCATCATGCCTATTCCAAACATTCTTGGTCTATGACCTTTTCCTCCAAAGTATCCAACAATAGCTCCTAAAAATACTGGAGTTACTTCATCTACCATCATGACTGTTCCACTCATTTGACTATTGAAAGAAAATCGTTTTTCTAAAGTCGTAAGTGCACCTACACGATAAGTATAATACATACCACTTATTACTCCTAGAAGTGAATACAGTATTAAAAATACTCGAGGTGTTGCCCAGGCTTGAAGCCATTTAGGATTAAAACCACCAATACCACATATAGTGTCCGAATCATCCTCAATATCGTCTTTGCTTAACTCTAAATCATTTTCTTCCTTCAGTGTTAAATTATTAGCTTGTACTCTTAAGTTCAGTTCATGGTCTTTTAAAAAATGACTTTTAGAGTTTTTATCATCTAATAATTCACGTATTACAATCATTTTTGAAGTATTACTGGATTGTGAGTCTGACAGTGCATGTTGATTTTCAATATTTGTGCCCGGTTCTAATTTCGTGAGCTGTTGTTTTGTGTCATTTCTTTTACTGAAAGTATCATTTCCGGAAGTATTCTTTTCATGAGCTTGTATGGTACCAGCTGAAATACTTCTTGCGTTTCCTGAGAAATTGCTATTTCCGTTGATAGAGCTTTTATTTCCGTTACCTAAATCAAAACCACCAGTTGAAAAACATCCTGATGGAATAGAGTCTCGATCAGGTTCGCTATGATTTGACTTTTCAATGGGCAATGCGGAATTCATCTTGTTCCCAGCTATTGATTCAGCGATTTGATTTGCACTTTGGTGTATTGTCAATTTGCTCACAGCATCATCTAATTCAACTTTAAGCTCAGATAAATCATTATTTTGTTTTAAATATTCAGAATCAAGTGATTTTTTAGTAGTACATTCTATTGGTGAGTTCTGTAACACGTTAGAAGAATCATCAGAGTTTCTTATTTTATCCATTAAATATTCTTTATTAAATTCACAATCAGCAATATTTTTGTCAGAACCCTTTTCCGAAAGGGGTTCTGTCTTTTCATAATTTTCTAAATTACCTAAGTCAATACCATTTCTATAAATGCTATTATTGCTGGTGTTACTATCCATTTAGAACACAATTACGACAATCAATCTTTAGGAAAATCAAATAAATGCTCTGATTATATGAAATGATATAAATATTCTTACTCTGATGTTACTCAGACATTTGTTCCTATTAGTTATTATTTTAGTCGCACCAAATTAATAACAGGAATTTTTCAAAAATTATCTTTAAATGAAGTTGATTAAATTATTCTTCCAAATACTGTGCGGCTTTCATTTGCATCCAGCATTCCTTGTGAAGAACATATGTACGTTTACATCAGTAATTAATTTAAGACTAAACATCCTCAAAAATATTACAGCCGTACGATAAACAATGCGTAACCAAAGTGATAAAAGGAACTTAGCTCAATTCATAAAACATACAAAAACACATTGTGAATCTGTGATCATCTGCCCGTAACCTTTAACACCGTAGCTTTTCAATATGTAAAAGTCTTAGGCTGACCAGAAACAAACTTCCTCCTTTCACGATAATAGAACTTTTAAATTGACGTCTTTCCTTTTTATTGAATTGACCATCTGCAATTACGTAATGTGTTGCTTCCTTTTAAAAGTTACTCAAAGTCAGCATTGCGTTTTTTAAATGTAATAAAAGAAAGAGATCAAGATCCTTCAGTTAGATAACTGCAAACTTCGTTCACTTAAGTAAGTGATGGGTTGACAGATTGTTATTCATATGCATGGAATTTGGATTTCCTTTGATGTTTGAAATAGATTAAAAAATGCATGGTATGGCCTCCAGTCAAATATAAACAAATCCGTTAACTTACGTAAGAATAAAAATAAATACTGAATTTTTCCTTGAAATAAAAAATTTTCTTTCTGCCTTAACATTGCTGATATATAAAAAAAATCATTGAATTTTATCAATAATTTTATTTTATTTTATTTTTCTTTGTGGAGTAAGAAGAACAAATAAGAAATTATTTCTCCCCCCCCCCATATATACATGTGTTTCATATACTTATTTTATTTTATGTGAATTTTTATGAAAGGTCTCTGAAAATGTGTATGAGTTAAGTATAAAATAGATTAAAGCTTAATTATAAATTAAAGTTACTACTATAGATAAGTATGTGTGTGTGCGTGTGCGTGTTGATTTCTTACATCTAGTCTCTCTCTCTGAAAGACTGTGTGTTGGAAATAAGCATTCAACCTGCTTTTACCTCAATTTTCTGCCTAGCGTGGAATTTCCCCAAGTGAAGTCTTAGCAGATTTAATCATACCTCTATTGAACGTGCCTCGTCTGTTTTGCATGAAGTTTTGTATAAAGTTCTCTTTTTTCCTTCGGTATCAGTTCTTCTCTTAAACCACTTATTCAAAAGATTGAAGGATTATTATTATGACTTTTTCTTAAGTGTTTGCATTATTAAATGTTGGATTAATATGTTTAGGTTTAGAAATTTAACGCTGTTTTTTTTAATGTTATTAAATTTAATGTTTTAAAGTTTTTCAGACTTTGATTGAATGGTTCTTGAGTATCATTTCGTAAATGATCGCGGATTAATTTCATTATAATTTGCATCTCTATAAAATATCTCAGGTGTTAATGATAACACAACAATATAAAAGCAATAAATAACTTCACCATTTTTGTCATTAGTGAATATTTATCTTCCTGTTTAGTTTAAAGAATATTCTACTCTCATTATACTATAAAATATATAAAATCTGGGGTAACTTTGTAATATTTTTCGTTTTCTTTTATTTAGAAATAAAATTCATAAACCTATTATAAAAGCCATTCACTTATTAACTTTAAATCATCTTAAGGCTGTGAAGGTATATTTATGATAGAACTATTTTTGATCTAACCTATAAAAATAATTGTATAGATATTATTGGTAATATAATTTTTGTACAGCTAAGTTCATGTGAGACTCTAAGTTTGTAAATGGAAAATTAGTCTATTTTTATTTTCTTATTTACTTGAAGTGATGAGTTTGTATGTATAGTAGTAAACCATATTAGATGAAAATCGATATTCTGCCATAATTATATTTTCATTAAAGCTTTTTATTCAAAAACTTTCCGAACAATAAGCTCATTAAGCAAAAAAAAAAACAAATATTATACACTAAGAAATAAAATTTTTGAATAACTTTCAAAAATTGAAAAACTAAGACTCATTGTTATATAATTAGATGTCAGCTTGAAATATAGAGAATACATTTTGTTTTGCGCGTTTATAAAATAATATAGCAAGTAAGTTTATATATTACATATTATTTCAGATTTTCTATTAAATATTTTTTTACCACACTCATAGATATACTGCTCAAAACAATTAGGGCGCCACATAAATTTAACGTAATTACACAAATATTTCTACTGATAACTAACGTAAAACAAAGATCAATATTTTTACAGTTTGGCAAAAACAGAAAAAATAAATTTCGAATGCAAATCAATATTCTTGACGTCAAAAACAAAGAGATGCATGCAGAAATTCTGATTTCCTAAAAACTTTTCTTTTTCAGTTCCTACTATTAGTTCACATTTTCCCTATCTTTATATCTTGCTCAAATTTTTAATCATTGATGAAATACTTTCTATTCATCCATTACAGTTCAAATACAATTTTTGGTCTTGTAGTGGATGACACTTGATGTTTCATTAGTTAAACTTAAGCTCGATGGATAGAGCATTGGACTTCTAATCCAAAGGTCGTGGTTTCGAATCCTACCTGGGATTGCCTAATTTCTGAAAATGTGATTTATGAATGAATGAATAAATAGTAGCAAACAAAAAAAATAATAGTCCAAAACCATATATAAAATGGAAAATCGCTTTCTATTTTGCCACTTAATACTGTGATTCTGACATATGTAAATACATATTTATATTAAGTGTAACTATTTAATAAAAAGTACTGAAATAAAATTTTTCTTTGTTGACCTAAGTAGGTATTGACTTTAATTTTTTTATATTACTTGTTATTGTTAATTGTAACGCGCAGTTGTTCAGCTTTTGTTTTGAGGAAAATATTTGTAAATAAATATCACAACAATATGATTTAATGGAATCCGTGACTTTTGAATTTGGGGAAATAAAAGAAAGAGTAAGTGAATGTGATGGATTGGCAAAAAGTACTCAAATATATGAAATCAATTTCAAGAAGTAAAGAATGTTAGATGTCGACCACAGAGATGCAGGATCGACCACATCTATAGTAATCGATGACCGGTATATCCCGTTAAAAGTTCGTCGAAACAACACAAGTAATGACACTCAGTTGCAAACATAGCTTTTTTGGTAATATTGCAGAGTTTCAACCCAAACCGTCCAAAATGGACTTCATTAGAGTGATCTTAATGCACGTAGACCAATGGTGCGTATTCCGTTGACTTCCAGATACCACATGGCTCGAAGAAAATAGGCTAATGTATATCGAGAACAAATACAAAGAGAAACGGATTGGTATAGTTTACTGCCAAATATCGATGCCCTTTGTAACAGTACTTCTCAAACTTTCAATATATTCGACCCAATATTTAATCATAATTTTTATTGCCCCCCCCTTCCTTACAAAAACAAGTACTATACTTTGACGCTAAAGATAAAATAAGACTGAAACCTCTTAAGTGCCACTGACGTTTATAAACGTCTTGCTCATCCAAAACGTTAATTGCCCTAGACGTATATATACGTCTTTCCGAAATTCGATCTTTTCTGTGCCCTGTTATCCATAAAATTATTCTAAAGGCTTTGGAATGCATTAAAAGGACTTTTACAGAATTTGCGAAGGGTTTGCTTATTTATTCCTTTTCTCCTCCTCCCCCCTCAATACGTCACATATGCGTTCCCACTTGAAAAACAAAGGCATTCTCGAGTGAATCACGTAATTTTTTAGTGGAAGTTAAGGAATTAATTATAAACCGTACAAAAATTACCAAGATAAGTGTTAATTTTTGCATATAATTTTGTATATGACAAACCCATGGGATCACTGGTAATTATTAAACTTGTTTAACTTAGTACTTAACTTAGTATTGTTAAACTAAATATAAAATACATTGCACAGTATTGATATATTTATAAGTGTATTATTTCAAATGTAAATCGTATTTTATTTTTTATTATGTCAGAATGTATTTTGTTTGCTTATATATTTTCAGTAAATTAATAATTTTTTTTAAATATTTTTTGTTAACGTTTTCAGTATGCTCGCGCATTCCTCGTAGAATTATAATGCCCGCCTACGGGGACACGCCTCACAGTTTAAGAAACACTGGTTTATAATGAGACACTCGACGTGTACTGATATGGGCGGAAAAGAGTACTAAATAATCCACATTCGCTCGTGGAAAAACCATACTACTGACAAAACGCGTTGATTAAATTAGCTAAAACACTTGGCAACAAAAACACATTTTGTTTGTTTCCTAGTTTTAAATAACCTATTCTTACTAATTTGGGATTGAAAAAAACGAATATGTGTAAATGAAATTTATTTATTAGCTCTTGATTTTAGGATATACCGCAACGCATCTATCAATTTATGGGTAAATGTGAAGAACAAAACATTACTAACTGATAAATACAAAACAATAAGTCATTTTTCAAGAAACAGTGTTCATATCAGAAATCAGTAGTATTTTTTAGTTTATTTCCCACGAACATTTCCTTTTTAATTGTCTATTGTATGTCGAAGTCCGAGTATTCCTTATCACTGTCCAGCAGTAATCTGAGAGCATTGCTTATCCCAAGGACCCTGATGTATGCGTTCCTACGCTGTGATATCTTGGGGAAACCCTTTCACCCTTTTCATCGCTTACAGCTTCACAGTTCTTAAGGGAAAAACCAAGATAAGAATGTAGAAAATGCATCATTAGAGACATATTGCATCCTATATCATGTTACATTTGTAGGAGTTCTTTCACCAAATGTTGATAGTTCTTATCTTTTTTTGCTGCCTTGAAATCTAAGTACGACACATTTAAAGGCTTTCCAAGGTACTTTCTCTTTCCCTTCCAGAATTCAATCCAATGCGGGGTTCTTCATGATTTTGCAAATTTGAGGGCCCATGAAGATTCCCTTCTTAATTCTTACAACACTCAATCTTGGCAATTTTAATCTAAGGTATTGGAAAGCCTCTCCATCCTTGTTCCGGGATTTCAGATCCGGGATAAATCTTCACGAATCCCAACTTAATGTGCAGGGGGAAAGCAGGATGTCATTTGAGTTTACTAGAGGATCATTTGGGACATTTCTATCACCGGATTTCAGATTTGTAGACGTACATTTGTCTTGTATGTAGTGCGATGTTCGATCTCTACTGCCCAACAAACACAGAAAACCGCAGTACTTGGTATAGCATAACTGCATTCCCATGAGTAAAGCAATGGCTTTAAAATCACCACAGATCAGCCATTTATGATTCTCGTATTTTATTAACTCTAGAAGTAATTTCACATTTGCATAAGTTTCCTTCGAGTTAACGGAATGTCCGATGTGAATGGAAGAAAGACGGTTGTCGTTGTGTAGTAATACTGCTTTTAAACTAAGCTTGGAAGATTCTATAAATAACCTCCAGTTATTTGGATCATAATTGATGTTCATGATATTCATCAAATCATTGGCATCAATTCATGCAACTACTTGTTCTTTTTTCTCAAAGAAAGGAAGAAGATTCTTTTCGCGAATCCTGTACTCTGTAATTTTGACGCCTGGTAGGAGCAGACTCCATTGCTGTGGTCTGGACGCCAGAAGTTCTGCCTTTGCTTTGGCAAGTTAAGATCTCTTACGAAGTCAGTCAATTCTGTTTGCTTTAGTCTACATTCAAATATTCTGCCTCGAAATCTGGATCATGAGATGCCCCAGTTCTAAGGAATTCTTTTTCTTCGTCTTTAGCATCATTCTATACAATCTAATACTTTTTAGGTGTGTCAAGAATCGGTACATAAATGAGTGAGGAACCGGCTGAATGGCTGATGGAGTGCATGGATATTTCACAAAAGGTGTTTCTTCTTTCTAGACCAACCCATGTTCATGGGGGCGCTAAATAGAACTAAGAATTGTCGACAAGGTTAGTCGGCTCAAGCCAAGCCATGGGTACAGCCAACTGCATTGCACGTTTTTTCCCACCCAGCCACTCTCGCAGTCTCACTGAGAAAGAGCTACAACATACGTGTGTGCCCATGATTTATCCTGTTCATTTACTTTTCCACCGAAATAGAGGAAGTAAGCTGCCTTTACAACTGGGTTTCAAAAGTCCTTTCATCACAATCGTAACAAAAGTTGTTGTGGTTATTAACACAGATTCGTGGCATTCGAATATGAATGCAGAAAATAAAAATAAAAATTTGAGTGATCTATTTAAGTGAAACTACTTTTTAATACTTTCTGGTACAACGTAGTTGTTCTACGTAACTGGTACAAGTAGTCTCTTAGAACTAAATATAGTAGAATTAATTTACCTTGAGTTGTAAGTTGAAAAAGGCGAATGTCACTTGAAGTATTGCACCATTGTCTGTTTTTGTTCTACTGATGCTCTATGTTGTACTCAAAGCACACCTGAAGAGTTGACGCTGCTCTTTTCAGGCGCTGAAACACGCCGTTCGTAAAATTTAAAAAAAATCGATCCTGAGGCAAGTGCTTCCATCTACCCGCTCAAATGAATATTACAAAGATTATACACAGAAATTAAAGATGAGTGAAAATATAGCTATTTATGAGCAAGGACAAGTTCTAATTCTTGAAAACAAGAGCTAATCTGCAGTTTTTATGGTGATTTTCGTGTTTGGGTGCTTAAAATACTTCATAATTAACCATTTTTTGATCCGAAAACATTTTTGTTGTTGCCAAGTGTAATTAGCATAGATGACATGCATATTATTCAAAATTGTATTCTTACGGCTTAAATGTAAGTGGATAAGATACTGAGACTTCATATGGTACTTTATGCTGCTGTAGCCCTTGAGACTTTTTTTTAAAAAAGCTTGATAATGTCAGACCTCATGCAAATCGTCTTGTGAAGAACATGCTTTAAGTTGTAACAATTCTTTGTATGGAGAAACCAATGTGCTCTCCTGACTTAAATTTCATCGACCACGTTTGAAACAACCTTGTACAATACATTTAATTTAAAACAATGGCTTCATTTACTGTATAAGACAGTTCTTGAAGAACGTAGCGTTATTCTCTCTTAAAATAAAATATATAATATTTTTATTAATATTTTAATGGTTTTTTTACATGTGCGTGTGTTTGAAGTCTACAAATTACGTTCAATTAAATATTCTTAAAAATGTTCTGCCATTTTTCTGGATACTGTACTTTTACTTTTAAAAGGATATTAATGATTTTATTTTTGAAATTTAGATTTAAAGTTTGCGTTTTCCCGTAAAAACACAAATTAAATGTATGTTTTATTAATCCGAAAGAAAACAGACAACTTACACACACTGTGCTATTTTTTTCAATGTATAATTTTTGAGACCTAAATATGTGTGCGAAATAAAAGGAATCATTAATCTGAATAATTTTGATACTATGAAAGAAGAAAAAACAATGCAAAATATTTATGTAATTTGATATTTGACAAACAGTTCACACACAATCGCATAATCTCACAATAACCTGTTACATCTGTGATGAAGTACCAATTCAAGCTTTGCTGTTTTACAGTAATTAGCAATCAGAAATGAATTAGAAAGGTGAATGGTTTAGTTTTATGCAAAAAGAATGAATAT